GGAAAAAAACTATGGTAACACAACTTAGCAAGCTTATGCTTATTAGAGTGCATCCATTATAATCATATTATAACAATTTTTTAAGCTATTTAAATTTACTCCCCAGTTTAGTTGCTATCACTGAAGCGACCCATTAGTCTTTGCTAGCTGAGAGACAGATTAAATTAAAGTGCCACAGGTGTATAATGAGGGCCTTATACTGTAAAATAATGAAAAAATTGTATATACAGAACAGTGTTAAAAAAACAATAATAAAATAACAATGAACATAAAAATTAGACCATAACTAAGTAAAATGGAAAGTATTGAAGTGTCTGCCAGGATTTCGTTGCATAACTAGAGTCAACACATCACTGTTGTTCTTTCCATCAAATTGCAGTTTACAGTCAGACTCAAATAGTTTTGAATTTAATAAAGCATATCGGCCATATCAGCTTTTAGGGCAATAGAGTTTATTCTAATAGAAGACAAAGTTGGAGCACTAACACTAAAAAATAATTCAAATATACATACAGATGCAAAAAAGCTAAAAATGTTATGAAATTAATGCTTCACATTTATTCCTACTTAGCAACAACATTTAAGTCACTGGCAGCTGAAATTAATAAAATTATTTATCTGCTAGGAAATCTAGCTGAACCTTATATAATAGCTCTGGTAGAAAAGTCCTTCAAAGAGCTGCATTTTACTTTCCTACTTGGAGAACATTTCATATTTCAGAGCCTGTAGTTTTTCACATTTACTTGAAAAGAGCAGTTGAAACTTGACATGTCTGTACTTTCGCCACCTGCCTGTTGCAAAGCTTTAAGCTGATTGTTGTGGCACATGGCTGAACTCTCTGAGCCTGGTCCTGCCTGAGGTTTTTTCCTGTTAAAAGGGAGTTTTTCCTTTCCAGTTACCAAAGTGCTTGCTCATAGGGATTGTTTGATTGTTGGGGTTTCTCTGTATTATTGTAGGGCCATAACTGTTGTTATGTTTGGGTGCTATATTTAAAAAAATAAAATCGAATTAAACTTGCACTGTCCTACTTGTCACTAACAGGGACTGGATCAACCTGATGTCACTTTTCAAACCCAGAAACTGTTCATGTTGACATTCATCTGGACATGAATGTCAGGAAATTTTGCTGTTTCAAGGAAAATCTGAATTAGAGTGATTGAAGTCCTTTCCATCTAAAGCATTTCTTCTGAAGGCCAAACAGAAGGAGATTGAAAAAGTTCACAAACTCTGCAAAACAGCTGTTCACAAAATCACCAGTAGAGCCTCAAAGTCCTTGTGGACAAGACCCTGCAAATTTTGTCATTGTTTTCGATGGCAAAAACATAAAGAGAAAGATGTCATGTTTGCGGTGTGACAGGGAGGATGTAGGACCCAAATGCAGGACTGACAGACAACGAAGGAACTAGAACACAGGGGGGGGACCATAAACTCAGAAACAGCAAGGAACACGGAGGAAAAAACACAGCATTGTGAGGGTACAACGCAACAAAGAGCAAGGAAAACACAGGGCTTAAATACACAAGGGAGTAACGTAGGAATGGGCAACAGGAGGGAAACACAGCTGGGACTAATTAGACATGATGAGACAAGGGGAAGCAAAACTAGATACACTGACATGAGACAAGTAACCGGCAAAGTAAAACGGGAAGTATAACACAGAGACGTGGACTTGACACAGAGACAGAAGCTACGTTCAGACTGCTTTTCTGATCAAATCCGATTTTTTTGTCTGCTTGTTCACACTACAAATAAAATGCGACAGCAAACGCGCTCTAGTGTGAACGCTCAAAGCGGCCCGCATGCGCAAAACAAGACGTCACACACAACGCGCTCTGCTTAGACCCAGAGCAAACAGTATTGTTTGACTGATGGCCGTTAATATAAAGACTTGTTTCGGGATTTTACGTTTCCCAATTTTTGCTTTAAGTTATTTTGTTATTTACATAATAATGTAGATAACCTAATAATGATCCTTATTGCTGTTTTAGAGGAGCGGTGCTTCAAAGGATAGCTGCAGATGTCTGTCAGAATCTGCAGATTATACAGTACAAATAAAATGTTAACGTTTCTCCAACGTTGTCTTCCCAATAGTTTCACTGACATCTACACTGGATGGCCAGGAAGCGTTCGCCAATTCTTCTCAGGCGCTTCTCCGGCACTGATAATTGGCGTCTGTCTTGTGTCAGTGACGTAAAAGACGGATTTAATGTGACATGACTGTTCAAACAGCAGTCGCTTTCTAAAACATCAGATATGTATCGGATTCCGTACCACATACGAAAGTGACCCAGATCGGATTTGAAAATATCAGATTTGTGCCGTTCACACCGTCATACCATGATCGGATATGGGTCGCATAGGGTCAAAAAAATCTGATTTGATGCGCTTTCGCCTGCAGTGTGAACGTAGCCAGAGAGACATGACTGACCGGGGAGACAGAGGGAACATGGAGGCAAGAAATGAAATGTGGAGCAAAGGGAGGACACAGAGACCGTAACTAGAAGCTAAAAAACACAACAAATTTAATATGAACAGAAAACCATCTACTGAACTCAAAACCATGAATAACAATAATCAAGGAATACAAATTAAAACGGATACTAAACACTGGGTCACAGACCCAGTGCCGTGACAAAAGAGGAGACAGCTACTGATGAAATGCAAAGAAACTTTGGGCTTTATCCATCTAGGCAGTGACTTTCTGAACTTCACATTCAAGAAGACAATTGGAAGACTGAGAGAAAGCTTCACTTATGTTTTCTCATAAAATAGAAGTACTGGACTGATCTGTTGTCTTAGAACAGGGGTGTCGAACTAAAGGCCTTGGTCAACACACCTGAATCAAATGATTAGTTCATTAGCAGGCCTCTGGAGAACTTCAAGACATGGTGAGGAGGTAAATTAGCCATTTGAATCAGCTGTGTTGGATCAAAGACACAAAACCTGCAGGACATCGGCCCTCGAGGCCTGGAGTTCGATACCTGTGTCTTAGAAGATTGTGCAGTCTGTGAAACCACAATGTCTTAGGGTACCTTTTTTTTGTATATTCCTAGAAAAACAATTATTCACAGTATGTTATATTACTTTAGTAAATATCTATTGGAGACCTATTCCAACAAATTAGAAATTAAATGATGCCCTGTATCTGAAGTTCTTAAGCTAGTAAATACTGTCAAACAAGTCCTTTTTATGTTGACAAACTACCAGTTGTAGTCAATCGTGATGACTAAAGAGAATTTAATAGGCATCGTCAAATTAAAAATCATTGTGGAATCTTCAACACCACTTATTAAAAGACTTAACTGAATGCATATATACAGATTTTAAACGTGAATGTATACTTTTGACCCTGTATAGATTAGAGAAAATCCAAAATAAACCCAAACATGAGCAATACAAATTTAAAGTAAATAAAGATGCGTGCTGTAAGATCATTCCATCCTGGAAAAATACAGTTCAAAGAAATAAAAGTCTCAAATAACTATAATGAGTTTATGTAAACTTCTGACCACAACTGTACTTTTATTATCTAGTATTCTATTAGACAGATGCAGCCAGCCATAGCAAACAGATTTACCATAGCATGCTCTAAAAATAAATTATACAAATACAATAAAAAACAAAACAAACAAAAAACAGGAAATGACAAAAGCAAATGCTCAAACAAACATAAACAAATGTAAACATAATAAAAAGTATAGAAAAGTCAAATCAAAGATTATAGATAAGCAAATAAAAGTAAGATCACCAATACTGTCAGAGCTTTGCTATAAAAGCACGCTCATTTTGTCATCCAGCTAACCGTTCATATGTTATAGCTGTAAGGTGTAGAAATTTGTATCCAAACACAGAAACGTGTTATTCCCATGAGTTAAGTTATATCCTAGAAAGCGGATTCTGTTCATCTGGATGTGGCGTGCTCAGTGGGAGACATATTTCATCACTCATCCAAGTGCCTTCAGCAAGCAGTACTTTTGTATAACGCACTGTTATGTAATGTTACTTCTACACAAGAAACCAGTTTTTTTTTAAGTTCATTTGTAACAGCTAAAAAGTTGTCAAATTAAACCAGGCCAACGTTTCTGTTTGTTTTACTGTTTGCTATTCAGCCTCAAAGCTTTTTTTTTTTGGATTCATTTGTATTATGACCAAAACAAATGCCACTGACTAATATGAGGTCGGTTTCACGATCATTGACATATGTGTAACCATTGATCAATAGCAATGAGTCTCTGTGGCTTTCAAACTCCAAAGCTTGATTGAGCAAAGAGTTATGGAAGCCATTTATGTGAAAAGGTAACATCCATCTTGGACCAGAGGCCGAGGCCTTATGGTTCAGCAAGGAGAGCATGTTCAGAGTCTGCTGGCAGACGAAGAAAAGGCTGTCTTCCTGCCAGAGCTCTGTTCCCACAATCTGAAAAATGCATATGTTACCCAGTTCCAGTGATACGGAGTTAGTTGATTGGAGTAGGTAAAAACCTCTCTCCCCTGTCTGAACAAAAGTGTCTACACAGATGGACACATTTGTGTACACAAATTACACTTAATGGTACATCTTTTACTTACTTACAATGCTATGATTGGACCCATTCCCCAACTCTCTGTGAATGGTTCTCATTGCCATTGATCACTGGGCTTATAAATTTGCATATTCATAATCACAAAACTGACCTCACAGCGCATTGTTAGTCATGGAGCAAGTTTTGGTCATCATGTAACTGTGCTGATTGGGGAAACCTGCAGTCAGCTGAGACTGAAGAAGACACTAAAAACGCTGAGTCCAGATGAACATAACCAACTTTTTGGGATTTCCTTAGTTCATTTGTGGTAGCCAAAAAGGTGTTAAATGAAACCTGGCATTTTCTACCTCTTTTTACAGTTTGATATTCAAAATGTAAACTTTTTTTCCTGATTCACTTATTTAACATAATATATTTTTATATATTATTCATCGTATTCACCAGTCAGCAGCAGTCGTCTGAGGACAGTGAGGATCTTACCATCCACACAGGCTGGTCTGGCTCTCGTCGTACCAGCAATCCGTCCCTTCTTGCAGGCGCAGCGAGCTGTCTGCCGTGCGATGGTCCTCCTGGGCTGGCTGCTGTCACGGTCCAGAGTCACAATCTCACAGGTCCCTGCTACCAGCTGGCCTGAGGGAAGCGAGCAGGAAAATCCCATAAACTTCATCGGTCAATTTAACTTTGATGACAATGTTTTACATTCTGTTTATTTTAACGATAATTGTACATCTTTAACACTTTATTTTCACTGAATACACTCAGCTTCCAGCTTAAAGTTTCAAAGCTAAGAACATCTCTAAACTTGTTTCCTGAACATGACAGTGACTTCAGGGTACTTAAATGATCTGCACAGTCACAAGCTCAGTCACAAGCTCTAAGTCCAAGAAAGCATCTTTGGGATATGCTGGAATAGAAGATTTGGCTGTACAGTTGATGAATGTGAACCTTGCTGCATCTATGCCGCAAAGAATTAAGGTAGTTCTGAAGGTAAAAGGAGTCCCATCTGGTACGAGCAAGTGTACCTAAAGAAAGTTACCGGTGGCTGTATAATAATCAGGCCCCATCTTATCTTAATGACCTTGTAGTACCATATCACCCTATTAGAGCACTTCGCTCTCGCTCTGCAGGCCTACTTGTTGTTCCTAGAGTATTTAAAAGTAGAATGGGAGCCAGAGCCTTCAATTTTCAGGCCCCTCTTCTATGGAACCAGCTTCCAGTTTGGATTCGGGAGACAGACACTATCTCTACTTTTAAGATTAGGCTTAAAACTTTCCTTTTTGCTAAAGCATATAGTTAGGGCTGGACCAGGTGAACCTGAATCCGCCTTTAGTTATGCTGCAATAGATGTAGGCTGCCGGGGGATTCCCATGATGCACTGAGTTTTTCCTTTCCAGTCACCTTTCTCACTCACTATGTATTAACAGACCTCTCTGCATTGAATCATATCTGTTATTAACCTCTGTCTCTCTTCCACAGCATGTCTTTATCCTGTCTTCCTTCTCTCACCCCAACCGGTCGCAGCAGATGGCCGCCCCTCCCTGAGCCTGGTTCTGCTGGAGGGAGTTTTTCCTTCCCACTGTTGCCAAAGTGCTTGCTCATAGGGGGTCATATGATTGTTGGGTTTTTCTCTGTATCTATGAAGCGCCTTGAGCCGACTTTTGTTGTGATTTGGCGCTATATAAATAAAATTGAATTGAATTGAATAATCATATCATGTCATGATTTTCATGTGAGAAATGAGCTTTCAAGCTCCTACTTTAACATGAAGGCTTTGAAAAACATTTGTAGGGACCCATACAATTTGCCCATACAACCCCTCACCCCTTCACCTATGCAGATGTATAATTAATCCTCAGAAACAAAATTAAAGTGCCTTTATTACAATAACACATTCTGTCAATTTGTTATTTAAATAAATATTTCTCATGAAAAGGAAAAAATAGAGAGCAGTGGAATCGAATCACAGTAGAAGATTAAAGCCTTGGGATTTGAAGAGGTTGGGTGTATGTGGTTTCTGTGGTGACTGCAGCAGTCCCCCCTGCATGCTGATGAACTGTCATCAATAGGGCTATGGATAGACCATCGCCTCTCCAGAGAGGTCCTGACTCACAACAGCCAGGAGCTCAGAAAAGAGAAAACAAGAGGCTCCGTTCAGAGAGGGGTCAGCAGGGTCACAATATGAAAAACAGCAACGACAACAGAAAAGCAGCAGTGCCCACAGCAACAGCCACAAAAACAAGGGGAAAAGTTCATTAAAGATGAGGCATTTTCAAAAGGTTCAGCAGCATTACTCCCTGGGCAGCTGGTCATTTTTGTCAACAGGCATGTCTGGAAAACACCTTTATGGACACAAATTTTTCCAAAAGAACAAAAGAGAAAAACAGAGAAGGAGATGTTTGTTCTGCCCTATGAGGTTTTTAACAGCTGGGCATAGAATGGGAGGTCAGATATCCACGGCACCTTTGAGGGACCTCCTGAAACGTAATAATTAATTCTTGTATGCTATCTGTAATATGTTCTTCTTCATTTATACCTTTTCTTTATGGTTCTTTTGTGATCTATTTATTTATTTAATTTATACACTCATTATATTTGTCATGGGCAGAATGGTGGCACAGTAGTTAGCACTGTTGCTTCACAGAATGTTCTTGAGTTTGATTCTAACATCTGGCGAGGGCCTTTGTGTGAATCACAGAAAAAGTTTCTGGCACAACTTCACCTACTTCCAAGGTGCATGGAGAGGATGAAACAATTCACAATGCAGGAACTCCAGCAACGCTTAAGGGAAGAGGAACAACTTTATTATGTGACCAACGCTTTTCGGCTTGTGGCCTTCATCAGGGTCATAGTAAAACATTGTAGAAGTTTGCTTAAATAAAAGACAGGGAACAGAAAAAAAAATTCAAAATAACCAATCACATCTTCATAGATAGATAAGATAATGTATAACAGGTTGGTATTTGGTTAAGTCACACCCAAGTAAACATACTGGACTAGATCATTAATGATGAAGATGGGGGGAGGGACATAATCCCCAGCTGTCTCAAAATAACACTTGTGAAATACATAAAAAGAATTATATGAATATACAAAAAAAACCCAAAAACATAAAATGGTTACAAATGACAGCATTTCATAAAAAAATAAGGAGGTTGGTGCAGCAGTTAAGAAACAAGAGGAAGTCATAACATGAAAACACATTTGTGGAAAGGTCCTCATTTATGTCTCTACAATGTAAAATCTCTCAAATGTAGACTTAAAACGAGATGTCTAGAATGCTACACCTTCTTTTGCTGATAAAATAAATATAAATAAATAAATAAACATTACCCATGCGAGAATATTGTAACTGGGAAAAAATAATAATAAAAACATTAAAAATATAAAAAGGTTTAAGTTCACAAAAACTCATTGATAGAAAAATCCTCATTCACACCACTAGGGTGCAGACTTTTAAAACGGAATATCCAAAATGCTTCTCTTTTTTTCCGGATAGAATTAGTATTACCACCTCTTTGGTTTAGTTTAACTGCTTCAATGCCAAGAAAAAATAAAGGTGAACTTGGATGTTTATCATTGAAGCGTCTTGCAACAGGGTTGGTTAGATCATTCCTCTTGATCGAACTTCTGTGTTCATTAATTCAATCTTTTAGAGGGCAGGATGTTTCTCTTATATATATTTTAATGCATGGGCACTGTATCATGTAGATTACATTTTTAGTTCAGCATGTGATAAAGCCCTTTATTGCAATGGTTTTGTTACTTAGGGTCTTTGAATGATTTTACATTTTTGGTGTATTGACAATTAATGCATGACCCACACTTGAAATTACCTTGTACGTTATGGCTTATTAGGATTTTATCTGAAGTATTAGGGTCCTGGCAAGCTCTATCTTTAATATTCCTTCCTCTCCTATAGGTTATCATTGGTGGTTCCTTATACAGGGAGTGCAGAATTATTAGGCAAATGAGTATTTTGTCCACATCATCCTCTTCATGCATGTTGTCTTACTCCAAGCTGTATAGGCTCGAAAGCCTACTACCAATTAAGCATATTAGGTGATGTGCATCTCTGTAATGAGAAGGGGTGTGGTCTAATGACATCAACACCCTATATCAGGTGTGCATAATTATTAGGCAACGTCCTTTCCTTTGGCAAAATGGGTCAAAAGAAGGACTTGACAGGCTCAGAAAAGTCAAAAATAGTGAGATATCTTGCAGAGGGATGCAGCAGTCTCAAAATTGCAAAGCTTCTGAAGCGTGATCATCCAACAATCAAGCGTTTCATTCAAAATAGTCAACAGGGTCGCAAGAAGCGTGTGGAAAAACCAAGGCGCAAAATAACTGCCCATGAACTGAGAAAAGTCAAGCGTGCAGCTGCCAAGATGCCACTTGCCACCAGTTTGGCCATATTTCAGAGCTGCAACATCACTGGAGTGCCCAAAAGCACAAGCTGTGCAATACTCAGAGACATGGCCAAGGTAAGAAAGGCTGAAAGACGACCACCACTGAACAAGACACACAAGCTGAAACGTCAAGACTGGGCCAAGAAATATCTCAAGACTGATTTTTCTAAGGTTTTATGGACTGATGAAATGAGAGTGAGTCTTGATGGGCCAGATGGATGGGCCCGTGGCTGGATTGGTAAAGGGCAGAGAGCTCCAGTCCGACTCAGATGCCAGCAAGGTGGAGGTGGAGTACTGGTTTGGGCTGGTATCATCAAAGATGAGCTTGTGGGGCCTTTTCGGGTTGAGGATGGAGTCAAGCTCAACTCCCAGTCCTACTGCCAGTTTCTGGAAGACACCTTCTTCAAGCAGTGGTACAGGAAGAAGTCTGCATCCTTCAAGAAAAACATGATTTTCATGCAGGACAATGCTCCATCACACGCGTCCAAGTACTCCACAGCATGGCTGGCAAGAAAGGGTATAAAAGAAGAAAAACTAATGACATGGCCACCTTGTTCACCTGATCTGAACCCCATTGAGAACCTGTGGTCCATCATCAAATGTGAGATTTACAAGGAGGGAAAACAGTACACCTCTCTGAACAGTGTCTGGGAGGCTGTGGTTGCTGCTGCACGCAATGTTGATGGTGAACAGATCAAAACACTGACAGAATCCATGGATGGCAGGCTTTTGAGTGTCCTTGCAAAGAAAGGTGGCTATATTGGTCGCTGATTTGTTTTTGTTTTGTTTTTGAATGTCAGAAATGTATATTTGTGAATGTGGAGATGTTATATTGGTTTCACTGGTAAAAATAAATAATTGAAATGGGTATATATATTTTTTTGTTAAGTTGCCTAATAATTATGCACAGTAATAGTCACCTGCACACACAGATATCCCCCTAAAATAGCTAAAACTAAAAACAAACTAAAAACTACTTCCAAAAACATTCAGCTTTGATATTAATGAGTTTTTTGGGTTCATTGAGAACATGGTTGTTGTTGTTCAATAATAAAATTATTCCTCAAAAATACAACTTGCCTAATAATTCTGCACTCCCTGTAGGTACCTAATAGGTTTGGGTCATTTTGAAGTATATGCCAGTGTTTTAAAATTATTTCTTTAATGGTTCTGGTTTTTGGTGTAAAAGTTGTGCAAAAGACAAGGTTAGATTTAAGTTTTGGA